AGGTATAATTTATTGAAGGATTAACATTGTAATTAAACATTTGATATCCAATGAACTCTAGTTTTATGATTCGTCTCAATTGTAAAACCGTGAAAGTGACAATATTTTCAAAACTTTTGATTAAACATTTTTTGAAACTCTTTATTGATATTTTCAGAACTTTGAAAATAAAAGAGAAAGAAAAACATTTTTTTCAAACAAGAAAGTCTCTCTAGAGTGGATCTTGGTAAATGACATGTGACTCTTAGACACAAAACTCATGCTCAGAATCAATGCTGAAGCAAGAAATGAGGAATATTTGGGGCATCTTTGGAGATCCAACATCAAATATTGGGGTTTTTTTGGATATTGGGGCATCATTTGGGGATTCAACATCCTAATGCAAATTATCAGACCTTTTTCAGGAGATAAAATATAACTAATTCATGTTACATGCATCTGATGCATACATTTTTAGAGCATCATATTTATCATTTTCCACATACATAATTTTATGCATCTTTTAAAGTCAAGTTTCAACTTCAAGACGAAGGATACTCGATTCAAAAGCACCTTTAAAGATTCATGTTGGTTGCTTAACTCAGCAGCAAGAAGCTACACTTCGACCAACTCGACAGATTGAAAGTTTCTCTTGAAACAACACAATTTGCTCGAGAGTGGATTTCAACTTCACAACGAAGGGACGGCTGGTTGTCAACAAACAACTTCCCAAATTCAGAGCCAATGTCAACTTCACTGCGAAGGATATTGGACTCCAGACAACGCAAGTTCAACTTCACGACAAAGGGACCGCTGGTTGTCAACAAACAACTTCTCAATTTCAGAGCCAATTTCAACTTCACAACGAAGGATATTGGACTCCAGACAACGCAAGTTCAACTTCACGACAAAGGGACCGTTGGTTGTCAACAAACAACTTCCTTATTTCAGAGCCAATTTAAACTTCACAACGAAGGATATTGGACTCGAGACAATGCAAGTTCAACTTCACGATGAAGGGACCGCTGGTTGTCAACAAACAATTTCCCAATTTCGGAGCCATTTTCAAAGTCACAACAAAGGATATTAGACTCGAGACAACACAAGTTCAACTTCAGAACGAAGGGACGGTTGGTTGTCAACAAATAATTTCCTGATTCTAGAGCCAATTTCAACTTCACGACGGAGGATATTGGACTCGAAACAATGCTACTTACTTGGATATCAACTTCACGACGAAGGATATCTAATTCCAGGCTCAACTTCACGACGAAGGGGCCACCCGCGGTTTCAACTTCACGACGAAGGGAATCGTGCACACAAACATCATCCATATTTAGATTGGATTTCAACTTCACGACGAGGGATATCCAACTCAAAGAAGGATTATCTGTCAACAAAGACCTTCGAGTTCGATTACGCTCAGCTCCAAGGCACATCATTTACAGCACAACTTAAGGCTAGAAGGGTTATCTGCCATCAAAATTGTCGAGTTCGATTCCATTCAGCTCGATGACACATCAATCGCACTACTTTCCAGTTGCAGTCGAGGTTTTCAAGTCGAGAAGAGGATCTGGGTTAGCCGTGCCTGAGTGACAAGCAAACATTTTCAAGCAGCATAGCTTAAGTCAAGAAAAAGCTATCTGTCAATGAAGATTTTTGAGTTCGATTCCGATCCAAGGTCTTTAAACTGAGAAGAAGACCGAAGGGCAACGGGAAGCCACGTGCTGATTCAAATTCCGAACTACGGCTTCAATTTCATATCATTTCAAGATGAACTCGACTTCACGATGGAGGAGTCATCCGTAACTCAATTCGACAGGGAGTTATTGAAACATCAGAGTCAATTTTCAACTCCATTGAACGAAAAGTGTGTCTTTTAATCTTTGCCCTATCTCCATTACATGACTATAGGCAAAGAGGGGCAGCTGTCAACACACCTTTTCGTCCTACTAGGATTCAAACTCCTAAAAATAGGATAGAATTTTGTAAGGATTCAAACTCCTAAAAATAGGATAGAATTCTACTATTATTTAAACTCCTAAAGATAGGATCCACAAACATTATAAATAGTCATTGTAACTCACTATTGTAACACATTCGGAGGAGGATATACGAAATACCAAGCAAAAAATTACAAGCAACTTGTAGCCATTTTTCGAAGCATTTATATTTTGAAAGGTAAAGTTCATACCTTCGCATGTTATTTTTCCTTACCCTTGTTGTGTTTTGATTTCGAAAGAAAACTGAGAGAAGTGTTTTTGGCTGATGAATGGGGGCGTTTTCGAGATCTATTTTTGTAGATCTAGTCCCCGAGGCTTGTGTTTTTGAAAAACTATTCGGATTTTTATAAACGGGTCGTGTGGATCCGCGTGTTTTGTCATTTTTTTCTTCGATTGATTTTTAATTTTGACCCCTAATTCATTTTTTATTTTAATTTAACCCTTATTATTTATATGTATATATTTAATTATATTTTATTTATTTATTATTATAATTTTATTTTTCATTTTTCTTTGCGTTATATATTTATTTTTCTATTATTATATATGTATATATATTATTTTTTTTATCTATGTTTACTTATTTACTATATTTTTTTACTATATTTTCCTAACATTATATATATATATATATATATTCTTACTTTATTTTATTTTATATTTCTATGATTACTATTTTTTTAGTTAATATTATATGTATATTTATTTTTCATTTATTATTATTATTAAATTTAGTATTTTATTATATTATACATACATTTTTATATTTTTTATTATTTTTTATATTATTTATTTATTTTCATTATATTTTTAGTTTCTTTGTTCTTATTATTAATTTTCTTTTTTAAAAAACACTTTACCTTTTTTATTCTTTTTATATATATATATTATCTTCATTTATTTTATTTTATTTTATTTCATTTTTTTTCATCCAATTATTTTATGTTTATTATTATTGGTTTCATTTATTTCCTTGGTTTACTATTTAGTTTTGTTACTTTCTTTTATATTATTATTTTCTTTTAAAATTTTATTTTTTAAGGATATTTCCGTAAACTCATTAAGGGTAAGTAATTCGGATCAAATTTTACTTTTTAATTTAACTTGCAATTTTCTTAATCAAAGACAACTGAAAATTACGTAGTACCGAAAGGACGGTTCAAGAGTGCTAATCCTTTCTTGACCGTAACCGACTCCCGAACCCGACACATCTTTGGAAAGACGCAGATCAGGTAAGAAATAGGGTATCCGATCAACCTATTTTTTTTAAATAAATGATCGGTGACGACTCCAATCCACATTTTTCAAGTCGAAGCCCAATTTCGAGACCCAACCGAAAGACGTTTACGACACATAGAAAATGAAATATGTTAAACAAAACATTGACAAACAATACACGTTGATGTATATTCCACAAGAAGTCAACTGAAATTTACTTACAAAAAGATATTTGTATACGATGTGATCTTGATTGGGATTTAAATTACGATTGTAATTACGTTTTTGATTGTATTACGTTTATCGCGATTGTAGATATAACGCTAATTATTAAAGTGATTGCAGGTATCTGATCATGCAATAACGATTTTGGACGATACCACTATTGGTATATAAAAGACACGATTACAATAACAAACCGTTGTTTAATCCTTAAATCTCGATCTAATCAAATTTATCCACATCTTACAAAGTAAATAAAATATACAGAATATGATTTTACAAGTTCAATGAGTTAATCGAAACCAAAGATATAACAAACGCACAATATAACAAATATATGGCAATTACAATTCAATGCCATATAATAAAATTCATTACGATATTAATACAAACATGGTATTTAATATTTTGATCACATAATTTATCTAGAGTATGATAATATTTTATCCATGGTACACATATGTTAAAAAATTCAATTTTTGATCCGAATATATTTATCCTCTGATTCAATTAATAATTAAGAGTAAAGTACATAAATTATCTTTCGCTATAGTACTGCTTTGTTGAGTCCCTGGACTATTAAAAGTTACAAAATTGTTACTAATTATATAGAGTTACTTTGTTGAATCACTTGACCATTAAAAATTACAAAATGGTCACCCAGACCATTCTATGTTCCAAAGTCATCATTTTTCGTTAAAAATTGACGGTCGTCTGAATTGGACATTAATCTGCTAATTGAGATATGATAAAATTTGATCTCAGAACTATTTGAGCTGTATAATCGTTTGGTATTTTGGGATTAAATTTTATCATATCTCAGTTAGCATGTTAACATCTAGCTTAAAGTGCCGATAATTTTAACGAAAACGAACATGTTTGGAATGTATAAATAGTCGAGTGATATTTTGTAACTTTCAATAGACGAGAGATTCAATAAAGTAATGACCTATTCTCGGGGATCATTTTATAACTTTTAATAGTAGAAGATCATTTTATCATATCTTAGATTTTTTTTTTTTTGTATTTTCTATTAATAATTTGTTTTCACCTCTAGATTTATAAGTTCGCCCCTCCTTAGAGTTTTAGAAATTCATCCCCTAACATAAAACCTTACGGCCATACCTAATGAATCCTTTGTTGCTTGTTCTTCTAATTCGAATTTAGATAACATAAAATGAATAAACATTTAAACACTTATTCTATTTCTTTATTATCTACATCTAGATTCCCCAATCCAATCCTTCTTCTTAGCAAAGGTCCTTGGATTTCACGTAACGAATATGCATCAAAAGCCAAAGCTATCTGCTAAAGAATACGTACCTTTTAATTGTAAAAGCAAAATGGTTGTTGCTCACTTTATACTAATTTACACATTTTATATCTTCTTTTTTACAAGTATTAAGAACAAGGATGGCAACAGTCTGGATTGCAGGTAGAGTTTTTGCCCCCATTCCTCAAAGAGGTTATGACTAGTAAAATCTTCAACTTGTATGATAAATGTTACTGCGAAATGTATTATTATTAACTCTCTGCATCCAACTATTATGATCATGAATAAGGATTCAACTCTTCATAAATGTAATAGAATTAAGCAATTTGCAGGTTCAAGAATTTTAATGTTTTAAGCAAAAGAGGAAGAGAGGCATGGCATTTTCAGATAAAATTGTTCAAGTTTGGGATGAATGGGAGATCCGGGCACTGCTGTTACTCAGCTTGTCATTGCAAGTAATACTCACGACACTCGGTTCTGTCCGAAAACGTTCAACGAGTACATGGATCAGGTTGTTTGTTTGGTCGGCATACATGTCTGCAGGCATGGTGACAAGTGTTGCATTGGGCATTCTTGCCATGGACAACAAAGGCGAAAACTCGAACCAGTTGTTCTGGACGCCGTTCCTCGTCCTGCACCTCGGCGGCCCCGACACCATCACCGCCTACTCTTTAGAAGATAACGAATTGTGGCCGAGGCAATTTCTCGATATCTTATTCCAGATCGGAGTTGCAGCATATGTGGTATTGAAATCTTGGGGTGAAATTGAACTTCTATGGATTGCCCTCCCGGTATTCATTGCTGGATCTATAAAGTACAGTGAGAGGACTTGGGTGTTGAAGCTTTCAAGTACTCAAAATCTTAGGGATTTCTTGTTTTCTGATCCTGACCCTGGACCTGATTACCCTGACTTCATGGAAAAGAAATCGAGGGATATTGACTCTGAATCGTCGTTGCCACCGAGTGCTACGCCTCCTCAACGATATTCGGGATCTCCGGATGATCATCTGTCTCAAGCTTATTACTTATTCAATAGGTTCACATATTTATTTGCGGATCTTATTCTTGGCTACGATGAGCGACAAGATTGTCACTCCATGATCTGCGATAAGTCATCGGAAGAAGCCTTTGAATTGGTGGAAGGTGAGCTTGGCCTTTTGTATGATGCGCTCTACACCAAGCTAACAGCTCTCCACTTTCGATACCGAGGGTACCGACGACGATGTTTCACCCTTTTCGTAACCGTATTTGCATTGACGTCATACAAGATCTTCGGTGATGACGATAGCTCAGCTGATACTTTGATAACATATTTGCTACTGATCGGAGCAGTCGGTCTCGAGGTTTACGGTTTTTTCGTTCTTATCCTCTCCGACTGGACAAAGCTATGTGTACTGCGGTATGTAAAAGTGAATCGTGTTCGAATCGGTAAGAGATGGTCGAGGAAGATATCGAAGTTCAGCATGATCAAGTTTTGCCTCAGAAAACAGGACCAAGACACCATGTGGATCAGATTTCTAAACAAACTCAGCATCGAGGAAAAGGTGGCTAAAATTCTAAACGTAGAGTACGAACAAGTGGAATCCGAACTGAAAAGCCTCATCTTCCAAGAGCTAAAAGATCGAAGTGAGAACATCAATAGTTCGTTCGACGTCAATTCATGCAAGAAACTATTGAGTTACAGAGGAGATTCTGTGCTTGATAAAATGGAATGCCTTGAGCTTCTCAAATGGAGCACAACTGATGTCGAATTCGACCACAGCCTTCTTCTCTGGCACATCGCTACTCAACTCTGCTACTTCGATGATGCCACAAGGGCGGTTCAAGGGTCAAATTCCCTGCAAAATCTGAAAAAACACTCCAAAATAAGCAAAGGGTTATCAGAATATATGATGTACATTCTCGTCATGCATCCAAATATGCTTCCCAAAGGGATTGGTGAGATAAGATTCAAAGATACGTGTGCCGAAGCCATTAGATTTTTCCAACGAAAGAAAAAGGAAATTGGAACCAAGGTAGATGAAGCTTGCCATAACTTATACGAAATTGACACTAATTTTTTAGAACAAGCCAAGGGAGATGCGACCAAATCTGTTCTCTTCTATGGCAGCCGATTAGCAAAGCAACTGCAATCTTTGGGATTTGAGAGGAAATGGGTCTTGATGAACAAAGTTTGGGTTGAATCACTGTCATTTGCAGCAGTTCATTGTGGATGGAAAGAGCATGGTCAACAGTTGAGGAGAGGTGGGGAGTTGCTAACCCATGTTTGTCTTCTGATGGCACATCTGGGTTTAAGCGAACAATATCAAATCCAGAAACAATACTTCAGAATCCATCAAGAGAAACGCAGGGACAAGCTTCCACTATGCTATCCTTTCTTGAAGATATTTGCTCGCTTTGTTTATAGATGGAAGGTTTAAGTCTATTCGTGTTTGTTTGTTTAGTTTTGAACGATTAATAGTGCTTGTTTATTTAGTTCTGAATATGTTTGCATTAGTTAAGGATTTAAAATGCTTTTGTTTTAAAAATTTGAGTGTATTTTAAGCTTGTTCATTTTTATATTAAATTAAATGGAATCGTTTAATAACATTGAATTAGATTTTGTCACACCTATCTCGTAGATGAAAAACTATTTTAATAAAATACTTTCTGTCTGGTCTGAAAATCTTAAAAGATAAAAGATATTACATTTGAAGATTGGGGCAAAAATTAGATTAAATCATATATATATATATATATGCATGGGAACACATTACAAGTGTGATAAAGATGCCAACATTTTAGTTGGCAAATTTTAACCTGAAGTAATAATGCAATTACTTTCTATGCTTTTTACACTGCTAAATGATACTTTATTTTTTACAGATATCCAATCACTAAAAACGACGAGTCCTTTAATCTTCAGAAACCTGATAACTGAAAACAAAAGCAATTGGTTAACGAAGAGGGGCAGGTTAGACGACCGACACCAAAATCAAAACTCCATATGCATCTATAAAAACATGTTTACACTTGAAAAAGAGGCTGCGTCTTCTTGACTTGCAATTCCAAAATAAATAAAAAATGACCAGCAATTTGTTGAATATTGACACACACTGCCAAAGGCAGAGTTATATATGGATAAATCACTTTTCATGAATTATTTTAACAATGGTTGATATACAACCAAAATATATTAGTCCAAAAGCAGAGAGAAGATGAAGCTATATTTGCGAATCCACAATCCACTACCCAATTTGTAATGCATCCAACAAAACCCATGCGTCTTGTGGTAGTATTATAGGGTAAGAAAATTCTTATCCTATATCAGTTAAAAAAATTGCTCCTACAATAAAATAATCAAACCCTTAAACAAATTTAACCAAGAACTTTAAACTAAATCAGGTTCTCTCATAACCAAAGCCCCACATGGCATCTAAGGGTAAATATATTAATGTATAATGTATACCCAATAAATTAGTTTCACATTTTACTTAGCTCAACTACTTGTATAATCAGAATTCTATTACGTACTCAACTGCTGATGAATGAATTAGCCGGCTGCTTAACTCACTCCGCAATGTAAGAGACCACAGTTATCATTCAAGATTACACTCATATGAAGTGTCAAATGACATACCCATACCTCCATGTCATTTCTGCCGCAGAATCTGTCACTGAAAAAATGGCCTTGGTAGAATGCAAATATAGTTGATCTGGCTGCACAAGCACCATTAGTGAGATTAGTCCAGTGTTGCCTGTGTCTAACCCAGACTTACAAAAAAAGTAGAGACACAATAATCCTATAAATTACCTAATTAATGACTTCAAAAGAATTGAAAAGGAGCCATATGAGGTAAAAATCGCATGTACAGTCCTGTAGAGTGACAGTAAGGGTGACTTATCTGCCAACTTTTCCACTATCACCCCCCAAAAAACCAAACTCTGCCTTCTGTGAAGTTGACAGACTAGAATTACATCTCTCCATTATTTGTTGCTTTCGAGCAAAAATTGTTAAGGTCTGTGGAGAAAATGTTCGCCATATAGAGTGATTTTGTGAAGGCAGCAATTAACCACCCACTTTACTCATTCAATACCCACCAGTTAAATCAAGAACCTGTTAATTTCATTTCCACGTGTTTTTCTAGTAAAACCAGATAACGTGTTTGACTGACTTTTCCACTATTTTGCAGATACTTCAAGATCTTCCTTTTGGTTTCCATGGCTGCACCGTTCAATCAAGGTCTGCAAAATAACTGACTCCTTGCAAGTTATTCCACAAGGTAGCCATAGGCTCAAAAGTTCTGTGAACTTCAAAGCAATTTTGAGTTCCTGTTCATTTAAATCATGGGAGATTACGTTCCTCCACTCCTTTGATTTTCCCTCCAAACAAAAGCCGTGCAGAAAGGCAGCACAAGAAACAGGGTCAGGAAGATGGCCATTTTTCATCATCCTATCTTTTAATTGCAAAGCAATTCTAGTCATTCCATTTTGGCAAAGGCAAAGGAGGATGGAGTTATAAACAGTAGCTCCTGGAGCCAAACCATCGGATATCATCATATTATAAGATTCAACAAAAAGAGATTTTTTCTCCAAAGACTGGTTATCCAGAATTTCACCTGGACTGTTTGTGATGCCATTTACAACATAATTGTAAGTAACATCATTTGGAATGCACTTGTTAGACAGCATCAATTCAAAGTAGAAGACTGCTTCTGCAAGTTTACCTTCCTTGCAAAAACTCCCAACAAGTATGGTGTATGTGACTACATTAGGTTCTAAACCACAATATTTCATCTCTTTAAAAGCTTTTTCAGCCGTATTGAAATCTCCAGTTCGACAAAAACCATTAATCAGAGAGGTATACGTTACCACATTAGGCTTGCGTTTTCATTTTCACCATCTGTCCAAACATCCTTAGTGCACGTCCAATGTCATGCTGCTTTATGTAACCATCTATAATTGTAGAGTAAGTGAACTCATCTGGGGTAAGATGTGCTTCTATCATTCTAGTAACACAAAATAGTGCTTCATTTATACTTCCAAATTTGCAGAACCCCTTAATCATGGCATTGTATCCCACAATACCGGTATCCATGCCTTTTCCAATCATGACATCAAAGAGTTTCTTTGCCTCGAGGAGATTACCATCCCTGGTGAACCCATCAACCAGAGTTGCATAAACAAATGCATCAGGAGGTACACTTTGGTCAAGCATCTCCCCAAGGAGGACTTTAGCAGCAGAAAGTTTTCCTTTCTTGCAAAGTCCATTCATCAAAACATTATATATTCCAGCATCAGGCAAAACTCCCCTTTCAAACATCCTGTGACGAATTGTTAATGCGGCATCCACCTCTCCCATTGCAACAAGTCCATGGACAAGAGCTCCAAAAGAAACTACATCAGGTTTGTGTCCCCTCTCTGACATTTCAATAAGCAAATCCAGTGCCACCATATATTCTACCATTCTACAATAGCCTTGTATCAAAGGGGTATAACTAATTTTATTCGGTACCAATCCCCTCTTCTTTGCCCGTTCCAGAAGCTGACCAGCTTTCTGAACCTTCCCATCCCTACATAAACCACTAATCAAAGTGTTATACGTAACAATATCAGGTTCTTGTCCACTCTCAACCATCTGCTTTATGGTGTCTGTCACATTAACTTCAAAACCATGCTTAAAATGTGCATCAAGAATAATATTATGAAGGTGAGTATTAACAGAGATACCCATTTCTTTCATTTCTTTCAAAAGCCGATCAATTGCACTAAAATCCCCTTTCTTACAAAATCCATTTATCATAGCTCCATTAGTCTTAAACGTCGGCAAAAACCCCTTCATTTTCATCTTCTTAAAAAGTTCATTAGCTCTTTCAACATCACCTTTAGTGGAATACCCAACAATTAACGTATTATAAAAAACAACATCCGGAACACACCTTTTTCCCCACATATCTTCAATCAATTTTTTACCCTCCTCAACCTTCCCTATGTTACATAAACCCTTCACCATTATACATACACTATAATTATCAACACAGCCATCCCTTACAACCATTTCATCGAACACCTTACGGGCGATCTCAACTTTATTTAATCTCACAAAAGAATTAAGTAACGAATTACTAGCAATCACATTAGGAACAGATTCATAAATTTTAACCACTGAATAAAACAGCTCAAGAGCTTTATAAACAAAGCTATAATCCGCATAAACGCGAATAAGAAAGCTTAGAGCTTCATGCGTAGGCTTTATTTCTTCCAATTTCATGTTCTCCAGCGCAGTGTAGATCTCGGAAAACAGTTCAAACCGAGCAAGGAGCTTTAAAAATGAAGAATAAGCCAATCCGTTGAGGGGAAAATGATGGGGTTCTTGTCTGGAAACCCAATGAAAGAACTTTATGCCTAATTCCGCGTCGTGTATTTGATCAAACACGTAGTGGGCAATCTCCGAAACGCGCGTCCCTTCATAGTAGAAACGGTCTCCAAGGGAATCTGGCCATTGTGGGTGCGTTTGGAAGATTTGAATGGTTTCATTGATGAGAGTGTTTAAATGGGAAGGGACGCGAAATGGTGAAGAACTGACCTTCGGGGTATGGAGAGGTTTGATGCGAGACAGAAGGGTTTTAGACATTTGGAGGGGAAGAAAGAAGGTTCAAAGAAACTATCTTATACGGAGCACCTGGTATTTTGTACTTAAACGGCTTTAAACCTGTTAAAGTGTACTTAGGTACTTGTACTCTTTTTATAATTGGAAATTAGTCCTCTTATTTTTATTTCAAGAAATTTAGTCCTATATTTTCATATTTAAAAATAGGCAAAAGGGTAACATTTGCCTATGTAGTAGACCTAATTTATCACTTTTGTTTCTATTATATTTTCGCATCAATTTAACCCTCAAAGTTATTCAATTGCATCATTTTATACTCTACCCCTAACTTAAAACCTTAAATTATAAACTCTAATTTGGGGTTAAAGATTTAGAGTTTATGGTTTAGAGTTTATGAGATTATGGTTAGGGTTTGAGGTTTATAATTTAGAGTTTTAAGTTATGGATAGGATATAGAATGATGCAATTGAGTAACTTCAATGGTTAAATTGATGTGAAAATATATTAGGGACAGAATGATAAATTAGATCTATTACAGGAGCAAAAATTACCCTTTTACCTTAAAAATATGTTTAATTGTTAACACCATTAAGATTTTTTTATTAAATTATTGACGTGACATTTTAGAATAATAAAACTAGCCTAGAAACCATATAATCAAAATGGTATTGTAATAGACATGAATTCAACATAAGAAATTCAATGATCTTGACAATTAGACTTGAATTTGTAAATCAAAAATATTAAATTCTTAAAATTATAAATAGTGAAACTTATTTATAAAGATATAAAGAATACAAGGACTAAAGAGGGAAAAGCTCCGTTTTGTTAGAAAGAAGGATGGAAATGTCTTACCCCTTGTGTCATAGGTTGACAACCCCAGGGTGGTGGTTAAAGGAGATTAATGGAAGTTTGTAGTAGGTCCAACTAACATAATTTATTATAAGTGTAGCATTAAGCATTTCCTAGGAGCTTTTGAAAATTTTCTAAAATGTTTGTATATGTATTTTTTTATCATCCTCAAATAAATATGGGCCTTCTTTTCAAATGGGTGCAACAAAATAAATTGTTGCTTCCGAACAAAGTCTGCTATTTTTTTTAAAAGAAATACATTTATATGCGATATTAAAATTAGACTAAATTCGTATTTACACTTTATGTGCTCTTGAATTCTGAGATATGCATATTGTCGGAACGATTCTTAAGCTTTTTAGGGTTATGGTAGTCGCCATCAAACTTTGGGTTAGGAAGGTCGAATACCTAAAAATAGCTTTTAAAATAATTTTAAGAAAAATAATTTTAAAAGATAAAAAATGATATGCATTTAACCAGAAATTTCATTTTGGAAAAGGGTTCGGAGTCAATTACACGTAAGGAAGAATTAGCACCCCCACAACGTCCGAAATCGGTACCTAAACGACTATACGTCATCTAAATATTGAAATTGGCAAATTCGAATATACATTTAAATTATGATCCTTTTCAAAAAAATATATAAAGGTTGTTATTTTGCACGAACAATTCTCAAAATATCTTCCTTGTCAGTTAAGGGGTATTTCTATGGATTCCCCATACAAAATAATATTGCCCAAAATTTTAGATAAAATACATATATTAATTACATAAAAAATAAATTCATTCGGACTTAAAATGTATTATTTTGTTTGAATAATTCTTGGAAACGCACTCCTTGTCAGTTAAGGCACGTTTCTATAAATTCCTCGAGTAAAATAATATCTGAAAATATTACAACCAGCGTGTAATTAACAAATACGTAAGTGATGGGTCAAAATAATAAAGATGAAGACTTTAGGGATGAAACTATACAACCAACAAGAAATGAAGGCAACCACTGCAAATATTTTACAAACTAAGTATTGAAATCGCAAATAAACCAAACTTTAATCATTCAGGACAAAAATGGAAATTATTAAAATAAGGCACTCAAATTAAAATAATCATAAAGATAAAATACTAAGCAGAAAAGAACTAAAATGAAATAAAAAATAAAAACAATAGCCAAATCATAATCAATCGGTAACTAGAATGCATAAATTAAAGATATCATATACAAATTATAATAAAATAATAAATAGACCCCAAACAATGGCTAAAATGAATAAAAATAAAAATTCAGTGAATAAATTTGAATAAACGACAATAATAAAAATGACTAAATTGAAATAAACACAAATTATAGCACAAAGTTAAAGAAATAAAATAAATAGAGGACCATTAACTGAAATGGAAAATGCGCGTAAAGTAGAGGGACCTGGACGAAAATAAACCAAAAAGTTAGTGCTGAGAAATAAAAATGGAAAATCACTAAATACGTCCTTAAATATTTAAAAAAAATTAAATAGTCACTACACTTGACCAAAATGCGAAACACACATAAAATTACAGGGACCAAACATAAATTAAACCAAAAATATATAACATGCATAAAAAAAAGATAAATTACAAAAACAGTCCCTATATGTGATAATTTTGCAAAAACACGCCTAACTTAGGGGTACCTAAGTGAAATTTCCCCTAAAGTTTTTTATAAATACAAACTTTTATTTTTTTTCTTATTTTTCCATTTTTTTATTTTAAATTATTTTTAGAGAGAGAAAATCGGTCGGTCGCTGATTGTTAGCCTTGCCGCCGTCGACCGCTGCGACCGTCGGTGATCGTTGGCCATCAAATTACATCGGTCGACTCATCTCGACGTGGGTAGTCCGGATCTGGGGTCGGTTTTACCAGTAGATGCACTGTTTACCGCAAAAACATCAAAAATCGATCGGCTTTCCCAAGCTCCGATCGCCGCAGTTCGTCGTTGGATCGTCGCTATTTTAGAGTATGGTTCTCACCATTCGTTTCTCCACATCTTCACCGTTCGGATTGTCGAGGTTGGCCTCCTATCGTCAGTGAGTCCCCGGCCGAACGTAAGAACTCTCTCTTCTCTTCTCGGTTTTTCCTGTGTTTATTTTGTGCTTAAGTTTCGAAATAGAGGCAAACATAGAAAATATTGCTTGAACCTCTTTTTTATTGCCTTTGTCTTTCGAAAATCGAAAGAGGAATGCTACACTATTTTTTGTTAGAATCAGGAGTCCCATCTGTTTACAAATTTTTCTTCGATTCGAGGTCCTCTCTCTTCGAACTCTCTCTCCTTGATTTTTTTTTGCAAACCGAGGCCCCCTCTGATTTTTCCTCCTCCCCTTTTTTTCTGGTTTTTTGCTTCGGTTTTATATCTCCTTACATCATAGATAAAATAAATTGATTTTATGATGATTTTTGTTGTTGCGTGGAGTGTTGGATTTGGAGCAGTATAGGCACGTGATGGTGGTAGCAGGCATGGTTGGTGGTGCAGGGCATGGGCACTCGGGATGGGATTGCACAGTGATGGAAGGCAACAACAACCAGGTCCGGGTCGAATTGTAATCGGGTCGTCATTGTAACTGGGTTTTGCAGTTGGGCCCGATTTGGATACTTGTTGCTTGTTTGGCCCGATTGGGCTTGTTAATGTAATTTGGGCTTGGTTGGGCTCGTTGTATTGGCCTGCAAAGGAAATAAAATAAACGTTAATAATAATAATAATAATAATAAACGGGTCTCCGGACTAAAACGGGTGTCGACACATTTGTTTTTTCATTTTTTTTAAATCATATGTATTTGTATCTCTATTCTAATATTCATCAAATACAAGATTTGAACACAAACATTATTCATTTGTAATAGTTGAAATTCATGCTTATTAACATTTGGACTTCAAGGTGCAGGATAAACATTTAAGTTAACATGACTCGTTGCATTGCAGTAACATTAGAGGGGTTATTTTCAAAAAAAAAAAAAAAAAAAACATTAGAGGGGTTAAACGTGAACTCTTTAATCATTTTTAAGTAGCAATCAATCTTGAATTAATGGACCAAACTCTTAACTATGCCCAGCTTATTTTGGGAGCAAATTTATGTTGAAAAAGATGAATTTAATTGATGGATTTAATATTTATATTAAATTCATATTTTTTTATTATTGTAAATTAAATATATTATTTAATTTGAATATCAGTAGGATATTTACTCTTTGAATATGTCAATTTTAAAAGGTATTTGTTATCTTTTTAACTTTGAATATTAAAGATAATTATATACATTTGTATATTCCAAATTAAAATAATAGGTATTTAAGTTTGAATAGTAAAATGAGTTTGATCTTTTGAATATTTTAAATTAAAAGATATTATTATATGTTTAAAGTTGAATATTAAAAGATATATGGTTGGATTAAATCTCTTTTGAAAATCCCTATAAATAGTGAGTTAACCTGCTAGGTTAAACAAAAGTTTTCATCTAGAATTTAAGAAATTTTTTTTCTTGAAAACTATTTTCTCTCCTTAGAAAATATTCGTTTTCCTCCTTAGTTTCCGGTGATAGTCGAAGGTAAAGATCGTTCGTGATCTCTGCGGATGTGCTACTGTAACTGATCATAAGTTGTTGTATCCTGGTAGACAGACGACTAACGAACTCGAGCACCAAAGGAGTGGCCGAAAATCTTTCTTAAGGAAACTGTGTAGTGCCAAGACTCAACTGATTTTGATCTCAACTGATCAAAATAAAAAGAGTATTTTCTTTCTATTTAAATTTTGATTTACTTTATGAAGTTTAACTTCTTTGTTTGATTTCTCAAGTTTAATTTTATCTCAATTGTTACTTCGGTCAACAACCTTAAGACAATAAACACGTTCATATCCCTTTAATTTTACAATTATATTATTATTATTATTATTATTAGTTTTATATACCATTCTCGGATTAATGTGTGATGTTTTTGTAACAATTTATAATGCTAACTCTTCTCTCTTTTGTTCTGTTTGGTAAGGAGTTGTGTACTTCGTTTTTAATTGTCTGCCTCTTGGTTCGATTTTCGTTCTCTTGACAACTCTCTGCATAAAAACACATTTACTAAAACATTAAAAAATATATTTTGTTTAGTCATGAAGAGGTCGGGATGGCCGAGTGGTCTAAGGCGTCAGACTCAAGTTGTTGTTCTCGTGGAGATCGTGAGTTCAAATCTCACTTCTGACAATTTACTTTTATATTTTCCGAAGAAATTTTTTAACCATTTTTTTATCTGCAAAAGTAGGGTGATCTTCAATGGAACATTGTTTCAGGCAGTTGGTAGGAATACAGAGCCACTATAATAGTCCTCAAAAGTATGTTGGGTAGTTGGCATTAAAAAGAAGCATAACTTAAGCAAACATTGTCTATGTTCAATGCTTCAAGTGAATAAACCATATAAATCTTCAATGCTCTAATATCATCAGCAAGTTTTTGGTGCCCAAACATATGGAATTATATATATATTATGCTTTTCGGACTTTCAATTTGTTTTTAAGATATCTGTACTCGAATAAGTATATTTGACTAGTTCATCAAACTGCTTATCTTTATTTTCTCATATTATCTAAGTTCGATGAATGAATGTTGATAAAGGTATAATTTACCTAAGAAAAACATGTTGAAGATTATGAAGGAGAAGGAAGCAGTGTTTGGGAACCTAATACTCAGGCCAAGTGAGTGTAGAAGCTAGGAAGTTGATTGGGGAGACTGGTTTGTTGGAACATATGCGGAAGCACTGGCTCCTGGAGGTGAAGAAAGATTCGTCATAATGCTGATGGGGCAATGGACAGTACGGAGCTAGGATCAAATTTTCTTGTTAAGAAAGTGAATGATAAAAGCGCTGCTATGGTTTCATGAAGAACAGAAAAGAAAACCAACAAAACAAAATATAAATGAAATAAGAATAAGAATTTACAGAGGGGCAAAAACAGGTAAAAAACTCTCGAAGATGACAGTCACAAGAGGTGGAGGGATGGTGGGGCTGAGGCGATTGTGGTGGCTTTACTTTGGCGTGTTGCATGTTTCAAAGTATGAAGAAGAAGACGGTGGCAGCGATGAGGAAAGGAATTTATAACATTAGTAACCGGTCAACGGGTCAGGTAAGCATTCAACGGACCATGTAAGTAGTTAGCAGTCCAACTCAACCGTTGAGGTGCAAATCCGTTTTAAATGATTTTTTTAAGTAAGAGTTAAATTAGCTGGTTAAAAGATGAAATATAATCAAATAGTATCAACTCAACCGTTTGAACATGTCACATTAAACTTACGTGACTACGATAACAATTATTAATAATTAAGTTATTGATTTGTTACAAAACGATAATAATAATGATTGTTTTTTAAGTAAATTCAGTGTTAAAAGAAAAAGGTTACTTATAATTCAATGATCATTTATGTAGTTTACCAATAATTAAACATAATCAAATTTAGATTAAAATTTTCTTATCATCTTCTTAACAAGAAAATATATATATATATATAGGTAAACTACACGGGTGACTACTAAACTATTGCCTATTTTCATTTTGACCATCAAAGTTTTGATTTGATCAATCTGACCATCCAACTATTTAAATATTTCAATTAAGCCTCTGACCGTTAATTTTTAACATAGGTGATGATGTGTCAGTTAATAAAATTGATATAATTATACGTTTGATCCTCAATACTTATATATTCTATCAATTTGATCCTAATTTTAATAAATAAAAATAAATTTAATTCTCAAAATAAATTGTACCATGTGTCACCATCCGATTGGAAATTAAATTTATTTTAATTTAATATATTTATTTTTCACCAATCAAAAGATTATACGTGTCACTGTCGGATGAAAAGAAAATTAAAAACACTTAAATTCGAAGCATGAAACTCAAACTTAGGTCTTTTGGGTTGTTGATGGGAAGCTCAACCACTAAGACAAGTTTTTTTTTTTTTTTTTGCTTTAAAGTGGACTACATATGATATATTATGTAACTCGTAATCTTAAATTCTTAATATTTTTTAAGTATAAAATTCATATCTTAATTTTAAAAATATATATTAAAAAATTATATATTTAAATTAAATCAATTTTTTGCAATTATTTTTAAATAATTGTATATGAATTATATTAAAAATTCATTTAGTGAATCAAAAGTTAGGGGTGAGCAAAACTTGACTTGAATCGAAAAATCAATTTTTTTGACTCGACTCGAAAAAACTCGGCTCGAAGAAATTTCAAGTTCAAATTGACTTGTAAAATACAAGTAGAATAATTCTAATTTTTAGTAATCAGTGGATTAATTTTCAAATTTGAGTCAAATCCTTCGATTGTGTATAATATAAATTTAAACAAAAACTTGAAAATTCAACTTGACTTGAATAGAAAAAAAATTCAAGTCCACTTCAAGTTATAAAATATGACTCATCAACTTGAATAACTCAATTTTTTACTCGACTACACTCGATCGAACACTCACCTCTATCCAAAGTCACAAAAACAACTTAAACCATAAATAAATTTATAATCCAAATATTAACTTTTTTTTCTTCACAGATTTTTTAGAATTATTTCTCATTTACTTTATATTTACAATCTTTTAAAAATAATTGTGAAAAAAATAATTTAAAATTATGAACTTATCAAACTCATTTTTATTTTTAAATGTTGCATTAATTATAATACGTGTGTGTGTTTAAATCTTGCATTTAATAGCGTGTGTTAAACTTGTTTCAATAATTTATTTATTAGATTTGTTTTAATATATATATATATATGTATGTATTTGTGTGTTATAGATAATTTAAATCAAAATATGTAGCAAAGTTTTCAAACTAACAGACAAAATTGGGAATTTAGCCTAATAGTTGAGATGTGCCCCAACATTCTTGGGGTCCTTAGTTCATACCTCTTAGGAACTTTTCATTTACCACTCTTATACATGTGGTGACACGTGTCACCACTTTATTGATGAAAAAAAATTAATTTAAAATAGTAAAATTAATTAAAAAAACACTCCAATAATATGTTGACAAATGATACCTCCAAATCAGAGGGTTAGTTTTTTAAATTAAATTAAAATTAATATTAAATTGATAGAATATATAAGTATTAATAACTAAATTTATAATTATACTAACTTTATTAGCTGACACGTCACCACATTCATTTAAAATTAATGACTAGTAACTTGATTAAAGTATTTAATAATTTAATTGTCTAATTGATCAAATTAAAACATCAATAATCAAAATAAAAATGAATAATAGTTTAATAGTCACACACATATCTATACAAAAGAAGGAAGGGCAATTAACACGCCTACAAACAGTTACACCCCTACACCTTAAGGGTGCGTTTGGTTTACAGAATGTAAGATTACCAGTGGGAATAAAAGATTACCAGTGAGAATAAAAGATTACCAGTGCGAATAAAAGATTACCAGGGAATAGGATTACGGGAATGTTACATTACTATGTTTGGTTTGTTTGGCAGGAATGTAAGATTACAGTGTTTGGTTGAATAATAAAAGATTACTAGAATGTATATTTTACCAAATTGTTCTTGTTCTATAGTTTTTAATAAGTGAAATTCTAAATATTTAAATAAAAATTATTTATATAAAAATTCTATCTGTTGATAATATATTACTTGAGTATTAAATATATCATGTATTATTTTAATTTTAATTAATATAAAATTTTGCATAATTTATGTAAAAATATATTACAATTTTACATCAACATTTAACTAAATATTTACATTGTGAAAACCAGCTTCAGTTCATACGTGACACATTCACTGAGAGGTTTCTTATATTTTTCAATCGACAATGTTTACATTCTTCTATATACAATAATTTATCATATATATTCATAATAATAAAAAGATGTAAATTATTTTTGTTATCTAAGATATAATATTTATTATATCTTCTATATACAATAATTTATTTATTTATTTTTTATATTTATACTTAATTCTGCATACTTTATCATTATTATTTATCTCATGAATTTATATTACAAAAACATAATTCAAATAAGTAAGAAAATATAACACTAAAAATCATATTGTCTATACTTTTATATTTCATCGTCATTCATCATTATCTTTGTTAATATTTTAATAAAATTATTAATACTTAGTCCTAATATGATTTGCATTGAAATTGAATGGCCATCATGGTCCGAAGGATGAGAGACTAATGGTGGCTACCTTTGTAGAAAATGGATTGAACTTGGGTGGGGCTGTTTCAGGCTCTGCCTTCTTAGCATTCAAGGAAGATTGTTCCGACAGCGGAACCACTCCATCGCGTCCATGGAAAAGCCTGAATGCCATGTCCAAATTTGGCCCGTCTTCGAAAATTGGACCCTTTGCTCCTCATACATGAGGTGTAGAAGTTAATTTGAACTTGAACCAAGAACATGATGCAAAAAACATAAAGCTCATAACATAATGATCCGTAATCTTACCGGTAGCGGAAAGGACATGGCATACGAGAAAGAGAAGTTTGTAGGCTCATTAATGTTTCTAATAAATGGACACCTGAGGATTTCCATTTGAGAAGTTGCGAAGTCCTCGCGTAAGCTTCTGAATGGAAAATTCATTTTAAAGTTGACCTGCACAAAGACATAAGAACTAATAATTCAAATCTAAGAATAGATAAAGCCCAGAATGATTACATCTCTAAGCATAAAAAGAACCATACATATATGAACAAATTAAGACCGAATAAAACCACTGACAAAACAAATCGATGCTAATTTTACTGCAAAATAAAATCAAACATATTTGAACAATTACAACAGTTCGATCCAGGAAAAAAAAGGAAAAGAGTTTAAGCTTTCAAACGATAAAATGTCAAAATCACAAACAAATTCAGAACCATAACTCTACCAAACACAAGTGTTGAGTTAATCGATTGACGGAATCGGCCAAGAGGGGGTTAATTGGCAATTAAAATTTTGTGGAAGCTTTTGCAGAAAATTGAAAGTAATTGCACAACGATTTAGAGTGGTTCGACTTTCTCAATCAAAGTCTACGTCCACTACCTTAGCTATCCACACTAAGGATTTTCCAACAAATTCACTAATTTGTTCTTTCTTTTGAGGCCAAAGAAATAACCTTACAACACCCTCAAGAATTATACCCCAATTCTTAAGAACACTCTTTCTCAAAGAGAAGATTACAAATTTCACAA